GCCACAAGGGCCTGTGCAGAGTCTGTGGGATCAGAACGACGCGCACGATTCAAATCCTCGCGCCTGAACGCGTCCTCGAGCTTGGAACGAGACAAGACGTCCATGAGACTGAGGGAGGAGCGGAAGGTGTCAAACTCAGAGGGGAGAGACCACAAGAGGGCCATGCAAGTGAGCTCCTCGTCCTGCTTCTTGAGATCGAAGCCAGAGTCGCGGAGATTCTTCAGGACGTGCATAGACTCGTCGACACGATGAATGAGGGATTGGAGGGACTCATCGTTGCGCTTCTTGATCGAGAAGAGGTGTGTGGTCAGAAAGGTGTGGCACAGCAGATGGGAGACCAGAAAGTGTGGATAAAACAATGTAGAGCAAAGTCGCTAGAGCTCAGGGCCCATAACATGTTGAGCGCAGTGACAATGAAGCGACTGGGACAGAGAGAGTGCCAAAAGAAGCTCTATAACGACAGGACTGTGGTCCAGAGGGTAAGAGTCTAAGTAGATACAAAGAACAGAGGGGAGCGCACCTGTGGTCCAGAGGGTAAGAGTCTGAGGAAATAATCGCCCTCGGACCACGGGTATAAGCTACACAGAACAATAAGAAACGAAATAGGAAGGTATGACATCAACGGGTCATTACATGTGAAACATCTTACAAAGCGGTCAAAAGCTCCACCTGGAGGTCGGTCCGGAGTGTCAATGACATCACACCGGACCGCCTCAGCCGGCTAACCCGGTGAAACAACTGAAACAAGGTGAGACAAGGTGAAAACAAGGTGAGACAGTCCAAATGGAGAAAGAAAGCAATATACCTGCTCTGGGAACGGCTGTAGGGCGGCTCACAGCTGTAGAGGCGAGTAATCAATGAGTCCCAAAGGTGGCAGGCATGTGGCATGGATGCCACATCAACCAGAACAGCCACAAACAACACTCTCTGTGCCAGTTGCTTCGTTGTCACTGCACTCAACATTATATCTTTTGTGCACTCCATCTTCTCTAGCCTATCCTCCTTTCACTTCTCTTTCCATTCGGCCATGTTTTACCGCAAGGATGGCATTCACTTCCCCAATAAAAGCTCTGTGTGCAAGCTTAGCATGCTCCGCTGGGTAGTGCTCATCATCTCTCATTCCTCTCACTATCACCACCCATGCATTACCAGGATCCAGCACTACAAGCAGTTAGACTGTGTCATGCATAAGTTCCTCATCATTGACCTCACCTACCCTACTTTTCATACAACTGAGCACACCATTCCTATCATTGTAGAGTGCACCATGGAGATCCACCAGTTCTGCAACCAGATCAAGCTAGACCCTGCCATTTCTACTGAGACCTTGTCTTGTGCCTCAGTTGGGTCATTCAGGGCCTTTTCAAGCTGTGCCTCTATCTCATCCTCCTCATCAATGAGGATACCCGCGTTTGACTACATAACCATCCTATGGGCTCTATATCATGATCATTGAAATAACATGACAGGCACTTTTATTGTGAAAGAGACTGTATACATTATAGGAATAGTATGATTAAACAAAGTAACTTGTATAGTCAGGCGATCATGGAAATACTAAGGCTCAATATAATTCATCTCAAGGGATGCTAAGCCCCCAGTGTTTCACTGTTTCAAGGGCACATCGTTTTCTTCACCATCATTTCTGTGTGGTGTTTTTGATGGCCTTGCTTTAAAAGCAGCACAGGGAACCACTTGCCATTTGCACTCTTCTACAGTGGCCAAGAGATTTGCCTTCTCTTGCCCTATTAGAAGTGCAAAAAAGCCATATGGTCCATATGGCTTCTCCTGAAGCATCCTTGTTATCTTCTTATAGTCTAGCAAGGTAGCTTTGAACTCCATGCCCCAGTTAGATCCCCAACATTGCACTCCTCTAGGTACCCTGTCCCTTCACCCAAGCTAGATAAAGATGAATCAGATTGAATAGAGTCAGAGCCTTATTGCCTGCTATCATGATTAATGTTTCTCCTTTGTTAATCTCACATCTGATCCACCTACTGTGCTTTTTTGTCTTGGGCTGGCTAAAATATCCTCTACTAGCTTTCACTGCTATACTCCTTTCTAGCCAGGCAACTCAAGCTAGGGCATTTTTCTAGCCACTTTCATGGCAGCACCCATTCCACCATCCAGACTCAATGCATAGTCTTGGGCACTACTGAAAGATTATCACTAGGAATACCACTAATTGGTGAAGCAGTCTCTGCAGGCTAGTGAACTGATTCTCTGCCCACACATATGTGTTATGCACATAGTCTGAAAGACCAGAGACATGTGTTAGTAACCAATCTTCAGGTTTAATAATATGATTGAGATAGAGATGGAGTTCACTGATTCTTAGGTCTTTAGTGCGCCAGGAAGCCCATGCATTCTAAGCTACTGCTTGGTCACATATCTAAATGAGCATGCTTAGCGCATGTGTTACAGATGCCTTTGCAGCACATGCTTCTCCTAGTATTATCCAACTTGTTGCACTAGCAAAGACACTCACCCAACCCCTCCGACTGACCAGTGGGCGATCCAGAATGAAGTTGATGTGCATGTCGTCAGCCATGTCAATTACAAAAGGAAAAAGCTGTTTAACATGAATGAAGCTCTTGCCTTTCAACCTAGAAAAGCAATATCATAGAGCTTTTCTGCAAACTTGGTGAGACTGTTAGTTGGGTGAGCAAAATGTGAAAGATCTTCCACAAAAGACAAATTATCATCAGCTAATGCAAGAACCAGAGCTGTGTATATCTGTTTGTCTAGACCATATATCAAGGGAAACTTGCTCTCAAGCCATTGGTTGAGATTGTCCTAATAATGCCTCGTAGTAACATAGTCCATGCCCCACTTGTCCAGAATTCTAGTGGCTGTCTCTTTAAGAACATACTTCTTCACAAGTTTCCAAATGTCATGCACATACATCTAAAATACATACTTGGTAATGTGCATCAGGATCTTGATGTAGTATTCTATTGATTGCCAGTGGGGATCATCCAAATCACCTTGGACCAAAACAGTGTGTGTGATGATGAACTATGAAGTGGGGCTTCCCATATGACAAGATCCGTGCACAATCTGAAACTGTATATGGCTCTCAGGTCTTCTTATTCACTGACCACAAGTATGAAAGGATCTGCGAGCTATCCATCTTTTCACCAGCCAAATGAAATCCCTTCCACAGTGCTGGAAACCTGTCCATTATTAAAGATCTGGTAAGCCAAGTATCCTTCATGCCTTTTGTTAGCACTCTCATATTGCCTGTCTGTGCAAAGTTCAGGGTTCTCTCCAGCATAGCAATAAACTCAAGATGATAGGGATTGATATCTCTGTTGTTTGTGGCCATTCTGGTTGATGTGGCATGGATGCCACATGCGTGCCACCTTTGGGACTCATTGATTACTCGCCTCTACAGCTGGGAGCAGCCCTATAGTCGCTCCCAAAGCAGGTATATTGCTTTCTTTCTCCATTTGGACTGTCTCACTTTGTTTTCACCTTGTCTCACCTTGTTTTAGTTGTTTCACTGGGTTAGCCGGCTGAGGCGGTCCTGTGTGATGTCATTGACACTCCGGACCGACCTCTAGGTAGAGCTTTTGACCGCTTTGTAAGGTGTTTCACCTATAATAACCTGTTGATATCGTGCGCTCGGTTGACATCTCCCATGCGTTTATCAATGGCAATCTGGACACTGTGGTGTATATGGAGCAGCCTGAAGGATTTGAGCAGGGAGGTCCTGAGATGGTCTGTCGCTTGATGAAGGGCTTGTATGGGTTGAAGCAGGCGAGTTGGCTGTGGTACAAGAAGCTCAAGGCGGTACTGGAGCGCACAGGAATCAAGGCAACTTACTCAGACAACAGCATCTATGTCCACACCAAGGATCAGGTCAAGGTCATTCTGCCAGTCTTTGTGGATGACTGCACTTTTGCGTCGAATTCCTTGTCCCTGCTCGATGATCTTGTTCTTGAGCTCTCTAGGTCGTTCAAGCTTCGCGATGTGGGGCCCACCACCGCTCTTCTTGGGATAGAAATTGCGAGGGATCGTGCCCATCGTCGCTTGATGCTCTCCCAGCGCCAGTACATCCTAGACATGCTGGAGCGTTATGGACAGGCCGACTCGACCCCTGTGAAGACCCCCATGGTCCCTGGCACCAATCTCTCTGTCTCCATGGCCCCTGTATTGGCTGAGGACAAGGAGTACTTGAAGAAGGTTCCCTACATCTCTGCCGTCGGCTCCTTGCTGTTCCTTGCACTCACCACTCGTCCTGACATCGCCCACACGGTCTCTGTCCTATGCCATTTCAACTTGAATCCTGGGATTGCGCACTGGAAGGCCGTAAAGCATTTGTTTCGCTATCTGAGAGGCACCCTGGATTATCGACTCGTCTATGGCCCAACGGACTCTAAGGAGCTCCTTACCTCATTCTGTGATGCTAATCATGCAGGCAACCCGGACAATGGACGGTCCACCAGTGGATATGTGTTGCGCATTGGCTCTGGAGCGATCAGCTAGAGCTCCAAGCTTCAGGGACTCGTTGCACAGTCGACCACAGAGACGGAATTCATTGCTGCCATTGATGCGGGCCGGGAGATTGTCTGGATGCGGAATTTGCTGACTGAACTTGGCTACTCCCTGTCTGAGCCGTCAATTCTCCGCATCGATAACCAGTCGGCTATTACAGTTAGCAAGAATCCAGAGCATCATGGGCGCATGAAGCATCTCAATCTTTGTTTCTTTTGGCTCAGGGACCAGGTAGAGGCTGGTGTGATTGCGCTAGCCTACGTTCCTACTGCGGACAACGCTGCAGACATCCTGACGAAGGCTGTTCCACCTGAGAAGGTGAAGATTTGCTGCAGGTTGATAGGACTAGAGGATCTGCCGCATTAGGAGGGTGTTTTGGACGCTGTAGAGGTGTGCAATCAGGAGGGTGTGTTGTTTGTGGCCGTTCTGGTTGATGTGGCATCCATGCCACATGGGTGCCGCCTTTGGGACTCATTGATTACTCGCCTCTACAGCTGTGAGCCGCCCTACAGCCGTTCCCAGAGCGGGTATATTGCTTTCTTTCTCCATTTGGACTGTCTCACCTTGTTTTCACCTTGTCTCACCTTGTTTCAGCTGTTTCACCGGGTTAGCCGGCTGAGGCGGTCCTGTGTGATGTCATTGACACTCCGGACCGACCTCCAGGTGGAGCTTTTGACCGCTTTGTAAAGTGAACCACCTGTAATGACCCGTTGATGTCATACCTTCCTTTTTCGTTTCTTATTGTTCTGTGTAGCTTAAATACCCGTGGTCCGAGGGCAATTCTTTCCTCAGACTCTTACCCTCTGGACCACAGGTGCGCTCCCCTCTGTTCTTTGTATCTACTTAGACTCTTACCCTCTGGACCACAGTCCTGTTGTTATAGAGCTTCTTTTTGGCACTCTCTCTGTGCTAGTCACTTCATTGTCACTGCGCTCAACAATCTCTGTCATCATCAACATTTTTGAGGGACTTTTTCCAAAGTTTGTAAAGGCACAACATAATAGGATAAGTGACCTATTAAAACATGCTTGGGTAAACCTGTCCCATTCTCCAAGTTATTCATCATATATAAATTATGATCACATAGAGCATCATACCTCCAGTTTAAAAATAACACAGTGGAATTTCACCACTTCAAATATCTCCACATTGGTCCACACTTGTACCAAAGGGTACATGACATGCCTGTAAAGTGAGCCACCATCCTGCTTGTTGTCTTATAAGTGATTGAGCTTGATCACATAAACATTTTCTATTCTTAGAAAGCAATCCAGCTTTAGGTCCTTGATCTGTTCCATAAACCAATCATGAGGTAGGGCTTCCTCATAGTAGTCAAGAAATACTTAATATGTTTGCTTTTGACATGCACTAGTCACTGAAGCTCCTACTATTGTCCCTGTAATTCTACCTTTTTGAACCTTGTGGTGTGAAGCTGACAAATGAACATAATGCAAAACCTCATTATAAGCCTACAACAATATGCTCCAAAGGAAAGGATTTGGACAAAGATGAGGATCATCTTCATTAGTGAAATGTAGATCTACATTATTGTTCAGCATTTTCAAGACAGTGTGAAATGGCCTTATTAGCCTCTGAGCCTGATAATGACCGACTACTAGCAAGAATGCCATGGGGTAAGCAGTATATATGCAACCTTTAAATAGGTCATCATCTTCCAACATGTTATCAATCTCATCTTCAGAGTGGATGGACTTGGGGGGAACAACTATCAAAGAAGGTGCCCAGCTTATCCAGCTATATGAGTATGCTACAGCTGGGATCTGTATGGTGAATGTTTGGCATACAATAGGTGATGCATATCCCTTATGTGTCATAAACCTCAATTAGAGCTCTATCCACATTCTCATAAGGAAGAGCATCCAGATTTTTGACTAGTATGTATATATGCTTATTGAAAAAATCATAGAGCACTTAGGCCCTTAGTTTGTCTGATGGCACAATATTCCATAAGACCCTGGGACAACAACTTAATCCACCACATTAATCCAGATGATATGGGGAATGAGAAAATGCAAGTAGACCCAAGATAATACATTTTTAGGACAGCACAAAAATAAGATGAGCACAACCACAAAGCAAGAGATAGCAAATTCACAAAGCAAGACACACACTCTCCCATTGCTATTCAGACCACATCGGAAGAGCAGTTCAACAAGAAGTCTGCTAGGTCACATTTCAACATAATGGAGGACCTCTTTTTAATCAAGAAGTGCCACAAAGAGTCTCTTCAGTCTCTTATCCATTGTGTTGATGAGTCTATGCACATCTTAAAGAACCTCCGGGACGCTGGCTCCAATCTCAAGAAGCAGGAGAAGGAGCTGACCTATATGATGTTCTTGTGGTCTCTCACATCTAAATTTGACTCTTTTGACTCTTTCCTCAGTCTTATGGATGTCCTGTCTCACTCCAAACTAGAAGACACATTCAGGCACGAGGATTTAAACCATGTGCGTCACTCTGGTTCTATAGACTCAGCTCAGGCCCTTATAGCATCTTTTCCCTTATCCCTCTCCTCTGCCTCCACCTCCTACAGACATTCCAGGCCACCTAAGAAGCAGTATAAGTGCAATTTCTGTATTGCCACTGGCTATACTGATGATAGATGTTTCAATGAGGAACTAAAGAAGTCTAAGCCACACCAGGCCCACTCGGTTCAGGCCCTGAAGTCTCTGGTTCCATCCAGTTTAGATGGATGGATGACTCACTTGGCAGATAGCAGGGTTAGCATGGAGAGTTCTAATAAAGATTGCTTTGGAAGTGGTTCCTGGGAGAATTAAGGCATTGAGGCTCAACTGGCAGGCATTCAAAGAATATCACTAGGATATTCTGGCAAAACATAGTGATATATGAATGACTCACTTAGCAGGTAATGTAGTTGATGAGGAGAGTTTGGATAAAGATCACTCTGAAGACATTAAGCACTAGTAGGAGTGGGTTCAGTTGTAGGTTGGGCAAACAGATAGTTTAACTTAGAATGAATAAGCAAATTAAAGAGAATGGTATTGAGTACAGTGATAATAAAGCGAGTGCCATAGAGAGAGTGCTAAGAAATAGCTCTATAATGACAGGACTGTGGTCCAGAGGGTAAGAGTCTGGGTAGATACAAAGAACAGAAGGGAGAGTACCTGTGACATAGGACTACCTAAGTCAGCCAATCCAGTGAAACAATGAAAACAAAGTGAGACAGTCCAAATGGAGATAAAAAGTAATATACCTGCTTTAGGAATGGCTGTAGGGCTGCTCCTAGCTGTAGGGGCAAGTCATCAATGAGTCCATATTGTGAATGAGTCCACATTGTGACATGTATGTGGCATGCATGTCACATTAACCAGTATGGCCAGAAAGAACACACCCTCCTAATTGCATGCCTCTAGAGCATCCAAAACACCTTCCTAATGTGTTAAGGTCATACCTTTCTTTTTCATTTCTTATTGTTCTATGTAGCTTAAATACCCATGGTCTGAGGGCAATTATTTCTTCAGACTCTTACCCTCTGGACCACAGGTGCACTTTTTTCTGTTCTTTGTATCTCTTCAGAGTCTTACCCTTTGGACCACAGTCTTGTCATTATAGAGCTATCTTTTGGCACTCTCTCTGTGCCAGCCGCTTCATTATTACTGCGCTCAACAGATGGGGTGTTATATGAGAGGTCACACCTATGTCCATATTCCAATTGAGGTTAGCAATGAGTGAGGAGGCTGTGAAGCCCAGTCAAAACCTGGTCAAGGCAAGTACAGGCAAATCTTTTTGAATAATTTTGAATCTGTCCCCCTCTTTCACAATCCGGAAACTTAGACTTTTATCCTGGTAATTCGAGGCATATCCATTGATATCCATTAATATCTATTCGGTTCGATTCACCATTTATTTTTGTAAACTAGTAAAACAGCTACTTTTTTATCTATTGGGATCCATTGTGATCAATTAAACATCCATTCACACCCAATATACATTGCAATTTGTGCCGCTCGCATCATCCAACATCTTCCAGATCTTCCGGAATTGTCCTGTACCCACCATTGCCCCATACCCTCCGCTGTCGTCCGGGCTTTCCCTGACCTTCCCCTGCCATTGACATGCGCACGCCAGCTCCTATTACAATTCCATAGATGCTCCCACTGCCTATGTAATGAAAATTCATCAGTATTTATGGTCATTGAATAGATGAAGTGAAACAGTACCATGTTGTGCACAAGCACATGCCACTCTGGAATGCTGTCCAACCAAGTGAGAGCGCTACCGCCACGCACTATCCTTAGCACATGATCACGTATAGCCTTTTGGACGAAGATCTGGTACGCATGCCGTAGTACCCGCATGAATGACTCATGCTAGGAAGCAGGTTGAATGACAGAGTGGCACTCACCGAAATGATCATGGTGTGAGCTCGTGAGGTAGAGCATAAGGGCAGCAACAGAGGCATCGGAAGCGGAAATGGCAGCCCATCCCGTCTATTGAGCAAAACCAGGTCTAGGTCAGCACCTCTCAAGACTGTAAAGGAACATGTACACACGCTCGTTATCGGCAACGCCTGCTGCATTTGGTCCATGAGGTCGAATCCAAGGCACATGCCGGCAGCGACGATGTGGATGCCTGCCACAATAGTGTAGACAGTGCGCATTGCAAGTAGGCCCATAGCCGCTGTAAGCATTGGGTGTCACAACAAATGCACCGATCGTGTGTCTGACAAGTGGGCCCATCTTGATGCCAAATAGCCTGCACACGTATACGTGAGGTGTAGCATAGATGAACAGGTTGGCTACGCACCAGGGAGAAAGAGCACGTGCTCACACATACGCATAGAGAAACTGTGGTGGCCTATTGAGGAGGAAGGTAAGCTTGACTTAGGGTTAGCAAGGCAAACACTCAACACTAGCACAATGATGCATACCTGCAGCCTTGGCTCTATCACCACAAGCCGCATCGTCGACATGTTCTGATGTACCACCCCTACGTCCTTGGGCAAAAGCCGGGCATCATGGCAAGCATGGCCACCTGTGCACCTGCAGCGAGATGGTACACCACATGCCAGGCTTCAAACTGCTTGACGACGCCTGTGAGGATGCGTGAGGAGAACACTGACAGGGAAGAGTGGATGATAGCGGACGATGCTGTATGTTGTGTGACAGTATTATGAAATCAGAAATCCCAATTCTCAAAGCCTACAGTGTTTGAGAAATGCCAAACATGGCCAAAATCATGAGTATGTGTCAAGAATACACTTGAAAATACTTGTTCTGGAGCTTCTCAAACATTGTGAATTGGCAACAATCTATTTATATGGTTCTGAACACTTGCAAATGGCTCTGCCTGTATCTGACTGCATCTGACTATATCTGACTGTATCTGACTGGATTTGCCTCGACTGACTTTTCACTGGGTGTGAAGAAAGAGGATGAAGTAGGGGAATGGAAACTTGTATTGCCTGCAAATATTGTAGCAGGTTAAACTTTACTAAGGCTGCTCTATAGAAAGGGAAAATGAGAATAATGATGACAGGGATCACTTTTGTTCCTGGCTTATTGCATACAGCTTGCAAACATCAGTAATATGTATATGCAATGCATATCCAAGAAACAAGGACATGGACAAAGTGAATGCAAAGATGAATCTATTGTAAGTCTGTTAGCTTTGCTCAAAATGTGATATAATGGGCCAATGTGGCTTTAGACATCCTTGTTATATGCGTTGTGTATCAGGACTCAAACCTATGAATACACAGCTGACATAATAATCCTGGCTATGGCTGGAGAGGCTTATCATATCAGCTACATATTAGCTTGGCTGAGTCTTAATATGCACCTAACATAATAAGCCTAGCTGCAGCTCTGACACATTCACTGGCATGGTTTTGTTAATCTCATACTGATTGTACCTATATATCCTATTGGTAACTCTGCATGAGCCTACCATAAAGAGGCTCAGTTAGAAAGTGGCCTAAGAGCACAAACAGTGGCTACATAATGTTCCCAAAGACTACAATATACATAAAATCAAGAACTTCTCCCTGATTATTGTCATTCTGCACTATAGACAAAATACACCCATAAGTGACCCTAATACATTAGATCATATGCCCACAACTGGTTACAAGAGCAGAACTATACTGCAATGTGATTTATTAGCATAGCATTTGCCATAGATATTGATGTTTTCTTGCTATCCTATGAATGTAATTGGGGAATAATTGGGATACATGGTAGAGTGATGGAAATATTGTATGATGATGGTGGTGGATGGTCTATATAGTTGATAAGCTAACTAAAAGATTTTATCTGCAAGTACAAGTTTGCTATTTGTATGTATATTATGTATAGTGGATTTGATCATGGATAAGTAGCAAAGTGGTTATGCATAGATAGTGGTCTGCAATAGATTACAGTTTGAACCATGCATGCACAATGATGTTTTACTAGCACAAAGTATAAGAGGTCTGTGAGGGCTGCTGTATTAGCATGTTTCAAATGTATCAGTATATTTTGGACATATTGGTATGTCTCAGATGTATCATTTTAAGGACTGGGGGAAGAGACAATATATATTAAATAGTCTATTTTACAATAGTATAAGAATGGTATGTCTGTCCAGTAAAGGCAAAACAAGGACATATCCTTCCCATTACTAACAGTGAGAAGGATATAGCAGTTTAACTAAAGACCTACTAAAATGGATATGGAAGTTTGACTTTATTATGGCAATAATATAAAAGTAGACAATAATTTGTCTAATGAGTTTTGTATAGGAAGATATATGGGAAATAAAAGAAAATAGACTAAAGAACCTCAATCTATTTTATAGGCCTTTTATACTAAATAGAAGAACCCCTATGAATATCTAGAGATATCCCTCTAACTCCTACAAGTAGTATGCTCTCCTATATACTGACTCTTGCCACTCATTTACATGCCTCTAATAAGGATGTGATAGTGTATGAATCCTATTAGCTCTAAGCCTAATGTCAATCAATTACCCATGCTTATTGAATAAATCCCCCTTCTAACTTATAGTGTAATCAATCAGGTATTGGCTTTTAAGGACATTATGCATGCATGCTAGGAATAAGGCACAGGAACATGTACTAAGCCATGTAAGAAAGGCACATTTAGGGAGTCACTCTCTTGTATTATGCATTAGTTCTATTTATACATAATTAAGAATGATTAGAATTAGAGATTATTTGCTTTCCCCCTCCTAAACCTATTATAATTAGATATAATTTTTCTAAATTAGAAATTATTAGAATTAATTATAACTTGAAATTTTGGAAAAATAGAAATGAATCAAGCATCACAGTTCTAATAGCCTTCTTATAGAGTTATGTTTATTAGAGCACTAGTTAAATACCTAAACACAGAATATACCTTACTACAAACTTGCCTTTTGCCAGAGTTGAACTGATAACCTCATATATACAAGTAATCAGGATAGATACTCTAAGTCACTAAGCCATAAGGTTTAATGTATTGACTTGGTAATCCAAATAAGTAGACATAATATAGGCAATCTCAACATCTCTGATTTTATTTAATATTTATCTTTTTTCTCTCTTATAAATAAATAGGTCAATAAATACCCAAAAAGTCAGGTCTTTTAGGGTATAGTTTAAACACCAGCTAAAAAGATAATAAACTAATGTAAAATAAATAATACACTTTATTTAGGGTAAAAACAAATTATGGTATTCACATAATTTGGATTTAGAATATATAAAACTATGATTGAGTATAATATTCAATGGGACTCTATTAGTATAGACAATGCTATCTTAATTTGCAAATTTGATTAAAAACATGATTATCAATAATTAGGATCCAATAAGAGAGAGGGGTTTTCCAAATCACCACTAGTGAGGTAAAGGATGTGAACAAGGGTATATGTATGGTATGCCTATGTATAAATAAGCACAAGATTCTTGGTATTACAATTAGGCTCATCAGGCCCTTGCAGTGGTCTATTCCAATAATAATCATTATAACTACTAGGTGGCCTCATAGTATGAGGCATACATTATGGTACAGGATAATATCCTTGGTCATCCACTCCTAGTAAACACCACTGTTACTGGTCAAATATCATAGGCTATATCATAGATGGCTGATGCAAGTTTACATCTACAGACTCATAGGAATGGAGCTCCTTGTCCTCCTAGTTGGAGGAAGACAAGTAAAAAAGCAAGAGTAGCGCTGAGAGAGAGCAGCAGCTTAGAGTGCAGGAAGGATATCTACATCATTCTCATGTCTTTCCCAAAGTAGTATAAAAGGCCCATAAAATAGGCTAAGGATTTTTAATCTATTTTCTTTGTTTTATAGTAGTCCCCAAACTACTGTCTTTACTCAAGGATAGTCCCTATACTATCCACATCTGTAATACTATCTGCTCTTGTGCTATGCATAAAGTCAAGACCTTCATTCATTCTTCCTTATTAAGTGGCCTAAAGAAGAACCTCCTACTCTTGGGGTTATTGAACAAGCAATTCATAATACTAGAATAGACTCTTCTTGCCCCTATCTTGCTCAAACTCTAGATTTCTGCCACACTCTCTCTTATAACCTTACTTAGTAGAGGACAATAGACCCCTATTAAGCAAGCATTACTGTATATACCCTGGAGCAAGACCTAGGCCAGAATTATTTTCCTGGCACCAGACAAATCAATGCACAGTTTTGTCATAACAATCATCCTATCCAACAAAAAGAGAGCCTTTGTTTCCATACAGATACCAATACAAATACTCTACCTAATTATAACAGCTGCTCACATAGAGACAGGCATTACTACTTTACCTTTGATAATGGAACAGAGAAAGAATTCCTTTGGAACAAAGCAGAGAACCTTTTGGATATATTACCCTAGTACAGAGAACTAGCACTAATAATCCTCAATGACTCAGAGCAAGAAGAATCCACTTCTCATTCAAAACTCTAACTCATTATATAATCAAATACCAATCAATACCCAAAACCTACTACTCATCACCAACATATTGGGACAAACATTAGAAACCACTCCCTCCATAGTCATATAATCCAGAAGAGGAAAGGTCAAACTCCCAGATAATTATATAGGCAATCATATTAAATCCTAAAAATTCATGCTTCAATGTCTTCTTCTTTTTACAGCAGAATCTAACAGGTATAAGACTGATTAGGACAAGATTTCCCTTGTGCTTTCATACATGATTTATGGCATGGCAGGGGCTTGGGCAGAAAAATTCCTTACTAAAACTATGGGGGTGACCCTCTCTAAAGATTTAGGAACCTGGATAGATTTCTTGGCCAAATTCAAGCTACAATTTAGAGAAACTAGCAAAACTAATAAAGTGTAAAGCACCCTCATAGCCTTTTCACAAGGAAAGATGACCATGGATAAGTACTCCAATTAATTCATCTTAATCACCACCAATGCCAACATTTTTGAAAAGGAACAAGTACCTTACTTCCAATGCAGACTAGACCCACCCACTATGGACAAAATTTATGACAAGAAAGCCCAACCTACAAATGATATCCAAAGTTTAATTAATACTGTTGGCAAAATAAACAAATGACTAAGAGCACAAAGTGCTCAAAAGGCCATCCTCACCAACTCCACCTCCTTTTAAAGTGACTTCCTAAATTATTTTCATCTCTAACCTACACCCTACTATAATTCTACAAAGGTTCTTTGAAGAATAAACAACCAAGTCATTGACATAGACATTGATGCCACCAAAAAGCACAATGCTGCCAGCCAAAAGCAAAAGCATGATAGCAAGCAACCTACTCTGTGTTACAATTGTGGAAAATCAGGACACTGAAATACTGACTGCCCATCACTCCATAGAAGTAATGATGCAACTATTCATTGCTCTGATGTGTATGTATGACAGCGTTTTGAACTTGGGCTTTACTTGGCCTCTCTCCTTTACTAGTGAGGGAGAGGTCACATAAAATC